CTCATCTATGATCACGTCCCTGCTGATCACAATCTGCTTATTCACTAGGTCGAACAACTTGTAACCTCCTGTCGAATGATATCCTACTAGGATCATCTGACTCGACTTGTCATCAAGTTTTCTTCTCAACTTATCTGGCACATTTCTATGTGTTATAGATCCAAATACCTTAAGATGACTCAAGCTAGGCTTCACACCAGACCAACATATTTTTTGATTAATTACTTCTAGCTTCTTCGTAGGACATCTGTTTAAAATATATGTTGCAGTCGATACAGCTTCACCCCAAAACTCTTTAGGTAAATGCTACCTTTCAACATACTTCTAACCATATTCATGATGGTTCGGTTCTTCCTTTCCGCAGTTCTATTATGTTATGGAGTGTAGGGTGGCACCACCTCATGCATAACTCCTTCTTTTTCACATAACTTGCCGAAGTCTTTCGACACATGCTTTCCACCACCACCAGTTCTTGAAACTTTGAGCTTTCGACCATTTCGTCTTTCGACCATAGACTTAAACTTGGCAAATACCTCAATCACTTTACTTTTCTTCTTGATCAGGTAAGTCCATAGTTTTCGACCGAAATAATCTATAAATGTAACAAAGTATTTCTTACCTCCAAATGAATCCACATGAATTGATCCACATACATCAGAGTTTATAACTTCGAGGACAACATTCGACTTGCTTCCTGCATCCTTGCTGAAGCTATTCTTGTGCTGCTTTGCCTGCACACATTCCTTACATACCTCATTTGGAATGTCAATTTTTGGAAATCCAGAAACCATATTTCTTCTCTTCAAATCTCTGATGTCTTTGAAGTTGAGATGGCCTAGTCTATAATGCTATATCCATTCATCTCTGCTAGCTGCAGTCGAAAGGAACTTCTGCTCCATCATATTAAGTTCAATATTGAAGGTTCTATTTTGAGACATGGGAGCATTCAAGATTTTTCCTATAACTCTTTCAACAATTCTTTGTTCATGATATTTAAGCGTCCCTTGAAGCTCTTCCTTCGACAAATATGACATGCCTTTCAACTCTTCTATAGCAACTACCACATGGTCGAACTTCGGAGCCAAAGATCTTAAGATCTTTGAAACAACAACTATTGTTGTTAACATTTCTCCATAATTCATGATTTGATTCACTATTTTTGCTACCCTAGTAAAGAAATCAGATATGCTTTCACAATCTTCCATATGAAGCAATTCATACGTTCTTTTGTAAGTTTGTAACCTCACATCTTTCACCTTCTCAGCGCCTCCAAACAATTTCTTCAGAATTTCCCAAGCTTCTTTTGTAGATTCAACATCACTAACCTTTTCAAAATTTTCTGGACTGACACATTGGTGAATTATAAAGAGAGCTTTATAATTCTTCTTCTTAGATTCTTTGTATTCTACTTCTTCTTCTGAAGCGTCTTCATCAAGCGGTTCTAATCCATGTTTCACAAGACTCCAAAGACCTTGAAAACAAAATATAACCTTCATCTGTTTATACCAATTATCATAGTTATCAACTTTAAGAATTGAGAGACTTGTTGGAAAATTTCCGTTAGCGTAATTCATAGCCATCATGATCTTCTTCTTCTTCTTCTTCTTCTTCTTCTTCTTCCTCGATCGTGCTTCCGTTGAATCACTCAACCAGAGCTCTTGAGACCACTGTTAGAGGAAATTTCGAGGAGGTGATATTCTTTACTTGGGATACACCTTATTGTGAGACACACACCACATATTCACCCAAAACCTTAAGGTGATAGGTGTGTGGGTTTTCTCACTTATAAAATGTTCATTCTTCCTTTTTCTAATAAATATAGGACTTCTTCCTCACACTTGATTCTCAATACTCTCCCTCAAGTGTGAGTCTACAATGATCCCCCTCGTGTGAAAGCTCTCTCTTTCACATACACTACTTGCAGGAAGATACACCACCTGTGGGAAGTGTTTCGATACAAGTAAGTTGGTCCCTTTACTCGAAACCAGGCTCATGATACCATTTTTAGAAATCCACCAAAACCTATGATGAATTTCTACCAATCTTGATGAACAAGATTGATATCACCACACAATGACAATGAAAAATAAGAAAAGAAGAAAGAAGACAATTAATTTTCTACAAAATTTCTCTCTGACCACAAATTATAGAAAATTTTATTATTCACTTGCAACTGTAAATTCTGTGAATAGAACTTGATTGACTTTATTACAAAAGATAGGGGTTACTCTCTTTATTTATAGATTTAGGTTAACTTGCTCTCTAAGCCAAAATCTCAAAACTATAAAAGCCCAAAATACCTATTTTAGAACTAAATCAAATCTATCTATTTTAGATCTAAATCAAATCTATGTAAATCTAAAACAAATCTATGTGTAATAAACTGTTTCTACACTTCTAAATCAAATCAAATATTTTCGATATTCCCTTGTCTCTGTCGAGAAAATTGCTTCGACACAAAAAATTACTTTCAACAAATTATTGGTGTATTAAAATTATCATTAATGCAATGTGAGAGAAATAGTAAATTAGGAGTATTAGTTAGAGGATATAATTGAAAAATAAAAAATAAAATTATATTGGAAAGTAAAAGTGACACTTATTTTGGAACAATTTTTTTTTTACAAAATACGACATTTATTTTGGGGCGGAGGGAGTATTTATTCATTTTAGCTATTTTGAATTTTTATAGTTATTTTTCTAATGATGTTATTAAAAAAAATGATATTATAAAATAATTTATAATTTGTATTTCAAATACATAATTAATTATTTTTCTTAATATATGTCAAAGGTGATCTTATGATGAAAGTCTTCAACACTTTCTCTGCGACTACATCCACGAGCCTTAAGCTTAACCCGACTAAGTGTAAAATTTATTTTGGTGGAGTAAATACAAGTACTAGACAAGATATTATGAATCTTACTACCTTTAAAGAGGGACCTCTCCTTTCAGGTATATGGGGGTTCCTTTGACTTGTATGAAATAATTCATACACCATTACATGCCTTTGATTGATAAGATTGTGAGTAGAATTAAGTATCGGGATACAAAACTTTATAGTTATACAGGGTGAATACAACCTATTAACAGTGTTACCTTTGCAGTAGCGAAATATTGGATGCAATATTTTCCTATTTCAAATTTGTTATTCATAAAATTGAAGCTATCTGTAGATCATTCATGTGGATAGATGGTTTAGAAATAAGTAGAAAATATGTGTAGACCTCGGGACTATGAAGGGTTAGATATAATTGATCTTAAAATTTGGAATAAAATTATTATATTCAAATTACTGTGGAATCCCAATGACAAGTCTGGCAGCTTATGGGTCAAATGAATCGATACATATTATCCGAGACATGTGGATCAGATGAATGTTAGTATCAAAATCCATAACTCTTGGATTATGAAGATCATACTCAAGCAAATGGCCATTCTAGACGATATCCGACAAGTTTGGGATCAGATGCTGAATAGTGAAAAGTTCAAAATGAAGGATGTATACAAAATGATATGTAAAGACACCCCATCGGTGATATGGAGAAAATTATTTCGTTTTAATGTTGTTGAACTGAGGGCATTGATGACTTTGTGGCTTGCATGCCATGGTAGAATGGCTACGTGACAACGTCTCTATCATCTAGGTATAATTTCTGATAATAAAATATTGTATTGTGCACAAGATGATGAATCTATTAATCACTTGATATTTGTTTGTCCTGAAAAAAGTTGTATCTAGGTAAAAATTCTAGAGTGGATACATGTTAATCATACTCCACAACTTTGGGATGAGGAACTAGTATGGTTGAGTAATAGTACCATAGGTAAAGGGTGGAGAGCCTCTATCCCGAAGCTAGCTGCTAGAGAGATAATATATGGCATTTGGAGATACCGCAATGATGTTCGTTATGGTAATGTTGTAGATAAGAATAAAATTATGGACAACATAATAGATAGGAATGTCTATGTTGTGACTATAAGAATGCAATATTTTCATGTTTGATTCAAGATTTAAAAAATTATTTCAAGAAATATTATTTATCCATACATTCTCTATTCTTATTCCAATGCGTAAAGGGTGAGAATATAACATTCCCATGAGAATAACCTCAAACAACTATAATTTCTCACTATGACTCATATTTACTATTATTTTTTATTTTTTTTATAATTTAAAATAAACAAATTTTATAATTTTTCATAGGAATTTAAATTCCCACCAAACACATAGGTTAGAAACAATATTCCCAAGAATGATAATCATAGGAATACCATTTCAAGAAATATAATTTCAATCCATGAAACAAACACCCTCTTAGGACACATATAACTAAGTTGATGATTTTTTAATTTCATATTTTTCTTCTTTTTGTCTCCTTTTGAGGATTGAGTGTGACCGCTTTGTTCTCTTATGATTTTTGAATTAATACAAATTTTCCTTTGATTAAAAAAAATGACATACAATAAAAAATAAAAAGAATATATATATATATATATATATATATATATATATATATATATATATATATATATAATTACTGATTATTTCAAATAAAAATAATGAAAATAAAATTAAAAAAAGTTATAAATTAAAAACTACTTAAAATAGTTTATCAAAATATGCTGTCAACTAATAAAAAAGTAATATAATCTCATGAAAAATTGTTATACAAAATATACATTTTGGACGTGAGTTAATGAACTATAAATTATAAGTTTGAAATTTAAATTTGTTAAATGAGTTTTTTCATAGTCAACTGCAGACATACATTAACATTCGGAAAACATGTTTGAGAAGTATTGTAGATTTTTAATGTAATTGAAAATCAATTCCACCACATTTTAATCGTGTGTCACGCCAAGGTTATGTTTGGTCAAATATTCTGTTGCATGTTTCTCAGATGCTTCTCACGAACAAGTAGTGCTCTATAAATGGGATGAAACCTACATTTAGTACTCAGACCAAGACATTATAGTACTAGTCCAAATCAAATCTATGGCTTTTTCTCTCCTTTATGTTCAAAAATTTTCTCCAAACAAAAGCTCAACTATTCTGCCTTTCAAGGTATATGAACCCATGCATGCCTATTGTAGTTTCCACAATAAAACCAAATTTACTCTTTCCTTTAACCAAACTCATATTTCTAAAACTGTAAAAGCCAAGGTATGGATCATTTTATTGAAAAATTCAAATTTCTATTCATTTCTAAGCTTCATAATACTTTGTAGCTAATTAATCTTACTCTTTCAATTATTATTCATTTAGGAAGCGCATGATATAAAACATGCTAAAGCATTGGATGAAGTCAAACGTTTATTTGTTCGCCAAAGTACAGATGAACGTTTATCTATGGTGGACTCAATCCAAAGATTAGGCATTGAATATCACTTTGAAGATCAAATTGAAGCAACTCTTCAAAGGAAGTATACGATGCTCAGATTTCATAGAATCCAAGAACTGTCGCAAGTTGCATTCCAATTTCGTATGTTAAGACAACAAGGATATTACATTCGCCCAGGTTAGTTAACATATTGGTTTAAACTAATAATTAAATATCAAAGGGAAATTATACAAATTATACTCACATTTTTCTGAGTATATATATATATATATATATATATATATATATATATATATATATATATATATATATATATATATATATATATATATATATATATATATATATATATATATATATATATATATATATATATATATATATATATATATATATATATATATATATATATATATATATATATATATATATATATATATATATATATATATATATATATATATATATATATATATATATATATATATATATATATATATATATATATATATATATATATATATTATCTACAGTTTTTATGTCACTAAAAATATCTATTGGTATGTGTAAATTTAAATAGGACTAATGCATTTTTTAAAATTAAAGAGGAATGTTAGTGTCATTTTAACGGAAAGTCTTTAAAATCTATTGGTATATGAGTGTAATTTTACCAACTATATAAAATCCGGGTAAATCTGGACATCCTGTCCAAAGTTGGAATCCGAAAAGTCGCAGTTATGTGTCTAATTAATTTTTCATGGTTATAACTATTTTGATGCATTTTACAGACATATTTGATATTTTCTGGGACAACAGAGGCAAACTCAAGGATACATTTTATAAGGATATAAACGGTTTAATTGCATTGTTTGAAGCCTCTCAATTAAGCATACAAGGAGAAGATTATCTTGAAAGTGCAGGACAGTTCTGCCGCGAGTATCCTAATGAGCGGTCTTCGACATTTCATAACCATGCTCAAGTGAATTTTATTGCACAAACATTGATGTGTCCTATTCATAAAACTTTGTCAAGATTCACACCAACAATAATTCAATCACAAAATGTAACATGGACAAATTCTTTACAACGACTTTCCAAAATTGACACTCAAATGGTTTCCTCTCTACATCTCAAGGAAATTTTTGCAGTTTCCAAGTGAGTCCTATTTAACTTTGAAAAAATTACACTAATAAAGATTAATGAGTACAACATTGACTTAATCATGGTATATACTATGTAGGTGGTGGAAAGACTTAGGTTTGTCAAAGGACTTGGAATTTGCTAGAGATGAACCGATTAAATGGTACATGTGGACTATGGCGTGTCTTCCGGATCCGCGTCTCTCAGACGAAAGGATCGAGCTCACAAAGCCTTTATCTCTAATCTACATCATTGATGATTTATTTGATATTTATGGAAACGTTGATCAACTCACTCTCTTTACATATGCTGTTAAGAGGTAATTAATGGTGTGAATAATTCTCACTTACTATTGATTTATTTAATAATATGTAGCATGAATTTATTTGTTTTTTTGGACGTAGATGGGATCTGGCAGCCATTGAACAATTACCAGACTGCATGAAAGCATGTTTTAAGGCTCTCTATGACACAACCAATGAATTTGCACTTAGGACACATCTCAAAACATGATGGAATCCTATAAGTTCATTGATAAAATCGGTACGCAAAAAAACTAATCTCATTGTTTCGTAATAAATGCATTAATCCTATGTGTATCATGCTATCTTCTACAACTATTTGTGCTTAACTTGATTCTTAATTACAGTGGATAAAACTCTTGAATGCATTTCTGCAAGAAGCAAAATGGTTTGCTTCCGGGCATGTTCCAACATCGGAGGAGTATTTGAAGAATGCAATAGTGAGCACTGGTGTGCATGTGATCCTTATTCATGCTTTCTTTTACATGGGCCAAAATATAACTGACAAAACTGTTTCTATAATTGACGACTTCCCAACCATCATATCTACAACTGCGACAATCCTACGACTTTGTGATGATCTCGAAGGTGACAAGGTAGAAAAGATTCACGTTTTTTATTATATAAATAGATCAATTATTATGAAACAGAAGGATTAAAAAAGTTGAAACAATTATCGCAGGATGTTAATTGTGATGGCAATGATGGATCATATTCAAAGTGTTACATGAAGGATAACCCAAGAGTTAGCATTGGACAAACAAGAGAACATATAAGGAAACAAATTTCAGATGCATGGAAACAACTCAACAAAGAATGTTTGAACACAAATGAGTTACCTTCATCTTTTACTAAACTTTGTCTCAATGCTGCAAGGATGGTACCTGTGATGTATAGTTATGATGGCAATACTCCTTCAAAGCTACAGAAGTATGTGAAATCGTTGCTTTCTGATGATTGTGGTTACTTATAAAATATTTATTCTATAGTTGAAAACAAACATTAAAGTCAAGACAATTTTTGAGAGCGGCAGACAATTGCAAATAGTCCATAATGTTTATATGTGGCTAAGAATAGCCTCACGAATTATTTGTTCTCTCATTGTTAAAAGAGCTTCTAAAAATTTGAGACGACTCTAATGAATCCCCGTAGTATTAGTTATGTCAGTCTATTATATTTTAGGTATTTTGTTGTATAAGTCATCCAGTAACTAAACATGTTAGTTGTTGTAAACTAGTTTTTTTAGATTCTCATATCATCTGGCGACATTATTCTCTAAGATAATTGAACGTATTTTTTTACACCATTTCATTTATTTAAATATTGTTTGAAATGAGCTTGAAGGTTGGCAACCTACTCCTTGTATCTATGCATCACCTTGTATCTTTCATCTGTCAGCATATGATTGATATTTCACGAACCTTGAATACACAATGTATTTCTTGAAGGTTTACATGATAAATTTTAGTGTTCACAAACAATTACTTTTACTGATTTTTATAATATATTTAAAATTTAAAAAGAATAAATAAAATATTTTTTTATATAAATTTATAATTAATATATGTGAGGAGAATAGAATTGAGCAAGAGGTTACTGCTCCCTATACTCCTCGTCACAATGGTCTTGCTGAAAGAAGAAACTGTACTTTGCTTGATATGGTGAGAAGCATGCTGAAAGAGAAGAAGCTTTCTCATACTTTTTCGGGAGAAGCTGTTGCCACTGCGTGTAATGTGCTCAATAGATGTCCAATAAAGAAGCTGAACGAAATACTCATATTCAGAAGTGGACTAGAGATAAGTAAAGTGTTAGTCATCTGAAGGTGTTTGGTTCTGTATGTTACAAACATGTCCCAGAAGTCAGAAGACAGAATCTGGATGATAGAAGTAAAGTAATGTTACTGGTGGGGTATCACAGTACAAGTTTGTACAAACTTTATTGTCCATAAATTGACAAAGTTGAGTTTAGCAGAGACGTCATTGTAAAAGAATCAGAAGTCTAGAATTGAGAAAGGTCTCATCCTGACTCTGATGAGAGAACTCTTGAAGAAAAGTCAGAAACACATGTTTCTGAAGTTGGTAAAGACTTTGACTCTGAAGGAGATTCAGAAGGTGAAGATGATTTTGACTCTGACTTCGATGGTGATTCAGACTCTGGGAATTTTCCAGACTCTGAAGATAGTCAAGGTTCTGGAGAAAGTCCAATTTCTTAAGCAAGAGCTTCTGAAGGGGAAAGTTATGTTGTTCGAGGTTCTATAGTTCAAATTCAGAGGCAACAAAGAGTCAGAAGCATCCTAAGAAGATTTGCAGAGTTTGACATGTTACAAGATACTGAAGTAGACTCCGAAGGAGAAGTTATTTAGTGTGCAATGTTAGTAGACTCTGAACCCGTGAGTATGGAAGAGGCTCTTAAGCAGCAAGTCTGGTTGCAAGCCATGAAAGAATAATTTGATGCTATAGAGAGAAACAAGACTTGGAAGCTGACTGAACTTCCAAAAAGCAAGAAAGCCATCAGCGTTAGATGGGTTTTCAAGCAGAAGCTAAAGCCAGATGGATCAATTGGAAAACACAAAGAAAGATTAGTAGCAAGAGGCTTTCTGCAGAAGCCTGGATTGGATTACTCTGAAGTGTTTGTACCTGTAGCGAGACATGAAACAATCAGACTAGTGATTGCAATAGCTGCTAACATGAATTGGTCCACTACGAAAAAAACAATTTTTGGCAGCGCATCTACGAAAGCGCTTTTAAGAGAAAGCGCTTTCGTAGCCTTTAAAAAAAATCGCTTAAAAAAAGCGCTTTTATAGGGTTTCCTACGAAAGCGCATTTCAGAAAGCGCTTTCATAGGTATTTGAAATATCTAACCTACGAAAGCGCTTTTTAAAAGCGCTCTTATAGGTGGCCCTATAAAAGCGCTTTTGAAAAGCGCTCTGAAAGGGGGACCTACGAAAGCGCTTTCTAAAGCGCTCTTATATGGGGGGCACACGAAAGCGCTTTTTACCTCAGAAGCGCTCTCATATGGGGGGCATACGAAAGCGCTTTTAAAAGCGCTTTCGTAGGTTTTTTTATAATTAAATTAAAAATCCCTAAATCTGATATTTGCCCTCACTTGGTAAGTTCGTTCGTTCCGTCTTCTTCATTTCTTCGTCTTCTTCATTTCTTCCGTCTTCGTCGTCGCCACCGTTCGTTCCGTCTTCTCCATCTTGGTAAGTTTCTTCTTCTTCCATTATCTTCTTCCATTATCTGTTCCATTATCTGTTCATCTTATACAAAAACCTATATCTTGAACAAGCTTAACCTACATTTTTGTTAAAGGTTGTTGAAGTTTTATCATGAATATTTACTTTCTGTGTTTTGAGTATAATGCCATAATTTATTTGTTTTGAATTCTGAAAGTGAACTGAATGCTTAATTGCGCATTATCATCCACTTTGTTAATGAATGTGTATGACCTCAATTTAGTTTAACAGAAACTACAGGTTTCTTGAAAACTTCTTTAAAATGTTTCTGATTGAGTTGATCTAAGGAAGTTTTTTTATTAACTATTTTAAAGAAGTTTATGAAATAACTTTTGTCTTCCATCAGAAATTTTTTATGTTGACTTAGAATCGCCTTAAATTGGTTCAATGAAATTCATTGTTGTGTTCTTGGGAGTTTTGGGCTAGCTTTTCTTCCAGTATTGATTATGAGTAATGTTTAAGGAGGGATGGTAAATGTTGCTTCCACCAAGGTTTAGTTCCAGTTAACCATAGAATTAATTATTAGATTTGGACGGTTCAGATTGGTTACTAGCTCCTCTATTTTACTATAGAAAGACAAATTTTAAGTAAAAGCATTAGAGTTTGCTTAAAACACCGATTTTGTATAAAAGCTTAAAACACTGACTTTGGATAAAAGCATGTGAGTTTATATATTAAGACATTTTTTATCATTGGTGAGACTGTATTAAGGAGAGCCCCCAGTTTAGCATATTTTGTGTAGCAGAGTAACACACTAATGGACAATTCAATCTGGTTTGCGAGATGCTTAATATCAGTTTGTGTGTTTTTAAACTTTGATTTGATCGGCTGAGAACTGATTGGATCAAGGATCCAAGGCATTGGATCAGCTGATCATTCGTTGGCCATTTAGTTAGTTTTCTAAATTTAGACTTTTGATTGATCTTGTTAAGGCACCACCAGATCAGCTGATCATTGGGTTAGTATTTTGACCGGTTATTGGGTTAGTATTTTGACCGGTTATTGATCAATCCAAGTTCTGTATGCCTCAATTCTGTCAATGTTTTAAATATTTTCAATGCATTAAAATCAAAGAGTCTATGATTTTATGTATTATGGTTTGTATAAATGGATGTGATACAACATATGCATGAGTAGTTTTAGTTTGGTCGGTTAAAACCGTGCTGGTGTATTTTCTTCTATTTTAACTATTCAAGAGACTGCCATGCTGACTTTTCAGCAGGGCAGTTTTTTTCTTGCAAGTTTTATCGGAGATTGAAATCAATTCTGTTCAACTAAAAACTTAGAAACATTTGTGTATAAGGTGATGATGATAATTAGGAATGAAATTATGTTGGATGTTCATGAGTTAGGTTAAACTTTAGATTGTTGAATTGAACAAAGTTTTAATTTCATGAGTAAATTTGACATTGAATTGAATATTGGGGTGTGATTCTTGAAGTTGACTTGTTAAACAATTATATGATTCTTGAATTGTGTTGAACTTTGTTCTTGAAAATTCATGATATATTTGAATTATTGAATATGCATAAGTCTTGATTTCTTGAACAGTGTAAAAAGGATGAAAAGAGGAATAGGTTGATTGATGAGTATCTTTGTTTTAGAACAAGAGTCTAGAGTATAAATGTTAGATTCATGTTAGTTCATGGCTGTTGGTATCAAATCATGGTGAATTGGTGAATTTGATGTTGAATCCGGATAAATTTTGTTGATAACTTTTGGATGTCGAATTATACCGGAACTCTTGAATACCTTGTCAATTGAACTTTAAAATTGTTTGATGCCTATTCTTGCATTTTGTTACGTTTGTGGATTAATGCGATTGAGTTACACCGTTTTTGTTGAGGTTTTTCAAGCCACTCTTTATTGAAGTATAAGGTTGTCCGGTATTAGAAGACCATGAAAATTGTTCAATTAATTATTTCTAATTGTTTAGAATAGTTTGTTTTGGTAATTGTCAAACACCAGTACCATTTCAATTGATTTCAGAACTAATTTTATGTGCGTTTTTGTGAATAAAATATGTTGTCCGGACTTGGTTCCATGTACATATTTCGCCTTAATTTTCCGTTTGACATTTATCCGCATTTAATTGAATCTTTCGTGAATGTTAATGCTTAATTTTCTTGTTTCCGTTAGCAACTTCCGATTAACTTGTGTTATGATAACAATGCTGCCCCATTTCTAGTCTGAGTATCTTAAACCATTTCATCCTATTTCCATATGCAATGTGATATATGAACTTGTTACTAAAAATATGGTGAATCGTGTGAAGCATTTATTTAATAGTATCAGTTCATCGCATCAACCTTATGTTGACTTTGTGAATTCACTATTTCTAATATTTGTGTTGTATTATTGTCATAGCTTTCCCAAACATTGAAAATATATATGTGACATTTATTGTGAACCTTTATGTTAAAATAGTATATATCTTTCGACAATCGATCCGAAATATTGAATAACATTCTATGAAATTGCAGCGTTTCTCGGCCTAGTTCGACGTACGACGCTCATTCTCCGCGTTTCTTAGAGTTCGAAACATCTGAGAGGTAACTTTCTTCCTCAAATTACTGGTATATATTGTGATGAATTTGTCTTAAATTGTCTTTCGTATGTTGCATTTTCTTGATACGGATTCATTCCGTGTATACTTTGCGTTTTGACAGAAACGCAGTATACTACTGTTTTGTGCACTAATTAGTTGATATGGATAAGACATGGATGTATTCCAATCG